CTAAATACACATCACTGCATATCCTAAATCATAAAATGAATCTTTCATCCAGTTACAGTGAAAGAAAAGCAGTAATTTTGTTCTGTGATTAAAGCGACCTAAGTAATTTCATCTACCACAAAATGACTGGTGTAACATCTGCTCCCTGTGGCTTTATAGGGCAGCAAGCCTTACCACATCTGGCACCATTTAATGCTGGTAATTAAATGCTGAGAATCCCTCTGCCCTCCATGGGCGTTGGTGATCTGTAGGAGTTGAGACACCCACTCAGAAGACACAAGATCTGCACAATAGCAGGGCACACTTGAGCTGGAAAGTAAAAATTCTAAGGGCAAGAAAAAAAAGGCTAAATCAAGAAGCTCAGCAATAATTATTAATTTAACTTGTGTAATGATAGTAATTCCAGCTTTCTGTGTTTCTCTCAGCTAAAATTTTCTGCATGTGAGAAAGTATTATTGTCCACTTGTTGATCAGGAAAACCACAAATACTTGTCCAAAAATGAACCACAACTAGTTAGAAATAAAAGCGGTATTTTGTGTCCAGTGAAACAGAAGCAACGAAGAAATGGAGAAACACATGAAAGATATAATCTTTCCCATGTTACTGAAAAGTGTGAGAAATGTCAATATTAAAAATGAAAAGTAGAATGGAGAAATATGAAGACAGACCACCACCCTCTTAAAAGTAAAAATTAAATTCACAAATACAAAGCAAAAGCACTGTGGGATATAGCCAGACACATTAAGAATATCAGCAAACAACCAGTGGCAAATATATTGGCTACTTCTGGGAAGCAAAAATACTTTTATTTTTATAGTAACATTTTGTCACTAGCTGATTAAAAAGAATTAGGATAATATTTGGAAAATTAATGGAAAATGTTATAAGAGTCAAAGAAAAATAAAAGAAAGGAAAAACCTCATAGTTGTACAGTTTAGGTGCATGTAAAATATTAAATGACCACAAAAGATACACAAATTTGACCTTCAGTCACCAAAAACATTTGCCAATACTGAATAGGAAGAAAAACAAGGAAGCATTTTGGAAGATTCAAACATGTGGGAATTAACATGATTTTCCAAAACATAGGTCATGCTTAGTAAATATTATTGTTTTTTCTTCAGGGACCTTGCAATGAACTTTTGAGATGAAGCATAAGCTTTTTATTCTGCATGAAATTGGTAGTTTTGGCAATGTGTTGTAGATGATGAAATAAGTAATGGAAAAATAGTTTTTGTTCCATAGCTAATCCAGGGTGATCTGGATAGACAGCTGTATGAATGTGTGATGGATCTGGGTCTGATCACTTCTCTTAGGGTAAATAGAATTTGTAAAATGTGGCAGAAAATTTGAAGAAGGACACATGATTTACAGGTTCAAACCCGATGAGTTTCTTCTCATTAAAAATTAAAAAATACAGTAAAATAGCACTTGAAAACCAGGGGTGTTTTAAAACCAAAAATCTAAAATTTAACAAGAAGAACCGAATTACTGCAGAGGTTGTTGGACACTGTATGGGAAGCTCAAGACAGCTGTTTCTGTGCTAGCTGGTGATCCTCTAGGGAGGACAAAGAGAAAATGGGAGCAAGCAGCAGGGAACAGACTTGTCTATCAGTTCAGGGGAGCATAGAGGTTACTGACAGACAGAATTAGAAACTGAAAACAAGCATATTTCAAATCAAACATTTACAAGGCAGTGTTTGACAGACTGCAAGATGAGGCAGGCAGGTATTCTTTCTTGAAACTAGTTTTTTTTTAACAGACTATGTAGTGTTCTGGTTAATTTTCAGCCTGGGAGCAGCCTTCTTGTTAACAACAGTAGAAGTTCTTCACAGCTTTATTGCAGTTCTTAATCCTTCACTCCTTGTCCTGAGTAAAGGCTCTTCTTTTAACTCAAGCAGTTTACAGTCTCAGTTTAACTTACAGTCTATTAAAAATATTTGGTTCTCATTTCCTAAGTCAGCATTAAAACCCAAGTTGCCCACAGCAGAAGTCAGTGCAGGCCTAGGTTGGATGCAGGGCATTCTGGAGCTGTACACTAATAAATCTTGTAATTGGCTTGGTAGCTTTTACGAAGCATGAATCTAATCATTCCTGTGCTCTGAAATCTGGGGATTGCCATAACTGAAACAGTCATCGCTTATAAGTCACTAATAAATAACATTTGAGAAGTAATTAAGTCCAAATATGTTTTGCTATATTTAGATTTTCTAAGAGACTTTATTTACAAAGTGCAGCTACACTTTTCTGAATACTTTTAACAGTATGGACAGACTAATTTTTGTTTCATATGTTCTTAAACAAAACATTCTACTATAACACAGTATCTTTGCCTGCTTCAATATTGCAGAATTAACTTGTTTTATTATGTGTGTATTGAGCTATAATTAGCATTCCATCCTTTACTAGACTATATCCTATTATTTGTCTTTTCATCAGATTGTTCATTTATTTTTGATCTATTAAAATAATAAATTACTTTAAGCTTATTAAGATAATAGCTATCAGCCTATGAAGTAATAGAGTTTTACGTTGATGTGAACTGAAACTGTGGAAGAGACTGAGTGGTGTTATGCATGTTAAAAACAGAGAAGTTGTAGCCTCTTTTAAGGAACTCATATTTGAAAAATGATTTTACTGTGAGAGACTCGAAAAATGCACTTTGTGCCAAGTGTTTAAGAAAATTGTTGTGTTGAATATAGTTTTTAACATAGTAGTACACAAGTTGAGCAGCTGTGTCCAAATAAATGGAATATGTTCCATCTTGAAGAATTTCTAAGGAAAATGAAAATTATTTCAAACAGCAAATCAAATTAATAGGTTTTGTTGGTTTCTTCCTTTTGTTCTTTGCCTTTCCTTAAGAGCCATCACTGGAATAATAAAAAATTAAACATACATTTGTAAAATTATGCCTAGCTACTTCTATGAATGCTTTGATTCTTTTTGAATCACACTGCCTGAAAGAGTCTGCAAATTTATACTGGAAAAAATGTTTACAATTTTCTCCTGGTATTTAACCATTGTCTGTATTTAACATGGATCTTGGTGGGAAAAAATCATAGGAGATGCATGAATTTGCCTTAAATTTATTATGTTGCTATTGTTATTATATGTTCAAGATACTTTTCAGTTGTTACATACTCAGCAAACTGTTCTAGACAGTTTCCTGTGTTCATAATCTTCAGCAGGCACATAAAATATTTTTTAAAGTATTGGGTTAAGAAAAAGGGGGGGGCGGGGCAAAAGAAAAGAACTTAAATGAAGGTGTTTTTTTTTTCTACACAGGTACAGGGTTGTGGTATCCTATCCTCCTCAGAGCGAAGCAGAACTTGAACTTAAGGAAGGTGACATTGTTTTTGTACACAAAAAACGTGAGGATGGCTGGTTCAAAGGCACTCTGCAACGAAATGGAAAGACTGGCCTTTTCCCTGGCAGCTTTGTAGAGAACATTTGAGAAGATCCATTCCAAGAGCTTCAAATCATACTGTACTGTAAAATAGCACAAATATTTTGCCAGAAAAAGCACAGTCATGAAATATTTTCAAATGACTGTAATGTAAACAAAAATCTACATATTTTTACAGTGTCTATAGCACAATTACACCAGCGAACAAAGGAGATGAAGGCATCTGCTGGTTTTATCACTTTGAATTCTTAAGTGTGATGTGTGCCTTGTACTGTCTGATTTATTATAGAGAGGAATTTTTTTCCCCAAGTATGTTACATAAATGAGCAATTGTTTACAAGGCTGTAACTAATTTATTCCTGGGTTGTTTTTTTTAAACTTGAATTTTGTGTAATAGCTAAAATTCTTGTGACTATGATTTTAACAAATTATTAATTTATGAAAGAATAACAAAGGGGAAGCTGGATTCTCTCCTTATGAGCAAGCAATTATATCTGATAAAGAGCCTCCCATTTATCCTCTGGACATTTTTCCCCTGCTGTGTCTGACAGTAGAATAAGTCTCTGTTGTATGAGTTAATGTTGAGTGGTGGTGATGTGGCGTCAAATAGAATTTGCCAAATGGGGAAAAGATGTGTATTTTCTTCTTTGGACAGAGAAAAAAAAAATGTCAGTGGTGTTCTTGAGTCTAGTTTTACTTCTTCATGAATCACCTAAGTAGAGTAATGTTTCCAGGAGGCAAAGATTTATGTGAACAACTGAACAAAACCATCTCAAGGTTAGGATCATCTCAAGGATAGGAAAGAAGAAATTTAGGAGTGCCAACAAGAAATCCCCTATACCTTCTGTTCATGTAATAACTTGGCTATTTGAGCAAAGCTTAGCTTTGTGTATTTGGCCAGTTCATTGGGCATTTAGCGCTCAGGATCCAACAAAATTGGAAGGAATGTTAAAGCCCAACACATAGAATGAATATAACTTGAAAACATCTGTTTGATAAGACTGAATATAAAAATAAAATTATAAGTTGTACTTAATGTCTAAAAATGCCTAAGACGTGTAATTTGCTGTTTTCTTCTCAAAATGATCTGCATGGCCAAGAGATGTTTTAAAATGTCTGAGCAGTAGTGGTGGTAAGTGATGCACTTGTGTTAAAGTAAAAGGCTGTATGAAACACTGTGAAAACTTTACTAACTTCTTAACCATTGCTACTTTGCTATGTTCTGACTTTTTCTTTGTCTTGCATGTGTTACTCAATTCCTGCAGTAATGTAACTGTGCATGATTGGCGTTTTCCATTCCAGTTTCCTGTTGCTGGTTATTTTGCTCTGAAAGTTTCCCAAAAGCCACTTGACCAAAACTAGTGAGTAACTCGCCTTCAACCAGAGAAGGTGGCCAGTGTTTGAATCATTAGTAAATTTTTTTAATGTCCTTGCAGCTGATAGATAGAAAGAATGCAGCTTGCAAGAAGTATGTTGTTAGTCTTTCAGGGGTTTTTTTGAGATTTGACACTGGTGAACACACGCTACTCAACTGAACTTGTTTTTTTATTTTATTATTTGATTATAGCAGTTTATTGGTGATTTTTTTTTTGGAAGACACTGACACCATCATCTCCATTTAAATCTGATCTAATTTGGCTGTTGCTCAGCACTTTACAAAGGGAAGCCAGTAAGGTGATTCAGTGTCGCACAGTACAGTGATCTGTTAAATACTTATAATTTTCTTAAAGTTATACATTGAAAAATATCAAATGTTAATTACAGAGATTTCTTGCAATATCAGGTAGTATTGTGATGGTCTTAAAAATAAAAAATATATAAATATATATAGTTGGACATGACAGCATTCCCAAATTAACCATCTCTCTTAAACACTGTATCATTCAGTTTTTGCATTTTAAAATCTTTTAAATAGTTTACTTGAATATTCATGTAATATATAAAGGTTTTGTGAAATTAATTTTAGTTAGAAAGAAGCTGATATCAGCTTTCGTCAGCATAAATTGGCACTAGTGTGTCGTAATCTTATTTTGGAAAATTTAGTGCATTTTATATTAAAGACTACTAAAGGTTAATTTTTTTCTATCTCTACTCTCCATATTTTAAACTAAGTGACTAAAGTACCTCTATTAATAGAATTTAATTATGTAAAGTCAGTTAAAAATCAGCTGTTAATCCAATAGTTCTGTTAGATGGAATACATTTTTAATTGATTTTTTTAACATTGAGTAAACGTTTGTAAAAAGGGCTTATTACATAGCAGTGCAACAATGACAAAAATGCAGTTTATCATGCCTTTTTTTGTGATCTTTTGGGGTTATTTTTGGTTTTGGCTTGGGATTAATTCAGTGTAGAAACAGATAAACCCTGTGCATTTGCTTTGTGTAATTCCATAAAAAAAAATAATTTTGTAAGGTATTTTATATCTATGTTTGAAGTCCAGTGAATGTTAAGTGTTTGATTTATTATGTTAAACTTCTGATCCTAATAAATATTTTCTTAGCAAACAGTTACAGCAAATAGTGTATGCAAACATTAAATATAAATTACTTGTAAAGAATTTGCCAGTAAAATTCCCAGAACTTAATTTCCAAATTCCTAGGAGGGTATTTCTGCTCACAGAGAAAAAGTGTTTGGATTCCATAATGTAAGAAGCTTGGAATGATGACTATAATGCAAAAACTGTAGAGAGAACCGAGGACCTGGCTGATCTTTTCCCAACCCCTTATTTCAGTGAGTAACTTCAGAAAAGAGTAGGTAACTCCATCTCAGTTTGTTCATGATGGAACTACTGTCTCAACAACAGAATATCAGGTGCACAATAGTTACAAACTGCTTTCCCTAGAGGAAGAAGTGTCTGGGGTAATGGACCTGCTGTGGATATATTGGGAGAGGTTGAAGCATCTGTCTGAACTTCCACTGTGGGCAGAAGTGTTGGTTGGCAAGAGACTCGTTTGCCTGAAGAAGTTTTCTGTGCACAGCAGTCAGGCAGCAACTGGCTAACGAGGAGACCTTGATTTGCATGTGGTTACATGTCTGCTATATACACGTGGCCTCTGGGAAAATGGAAATTAAACCTAAAAGTGTTTGCAAATGTTTGAGACTTGGTAAATGTTGCAGCTACTGTGATAAGCTCAGTGTTAGTTAAGACTGACAAGCAGAACCTAAATTGTACTAGCAGTGAATGGTGCAGCAGTGGGTGCTTTCTGAAAGAAGGAGCATCTTGTCTAACCTTCCTTAATTAAGGGGGATGAGGGGAGGGGGGAATGCAATACAATTTGTAGAAATGGAGTGTATAGAAAAGAAAGATTTTTTTTATTTTTTTTTCAGGACTGTGGTCTGACATCAGTGCATCCATAGAAGAAAAGTACATACAAACATGGCTGTGTAGCCAAAGTAAGATTATTTCTTTGGGCTGGCTTTTTTGTTTGTTTGCTTGTTTTGCACTGTAATTATTGAGTAATTCTAATAATGTTATTAACATTTGGCTTGCCAAAGGTACATGAAATCCTGTTCACCCTCACTTCATTACCTCTGCCATATAGCAGTAATGACAATTATGATAGTTTTGCATAGGCTTAAAAAGATGGCTTCTGAGCATTCTGGCTTCTTTTAGAGAGCTGGCAAAATATTATATCTGGCTTGTTCTTTCCAAGTAGCTTTAAGCAAATGTGTTTAAAGGTGCACATTGACCTCAATGAAACACAAGAATCCACTTGTCTAGTTAAAAAGATTTGTGTCTGCCATTATTAAAGCTCCTACAGTGTAGTCTTTCATATATGTACACAATTGTAGCATCACTGCTTTCTGTAGGATATACCAAATTTCTTTGGATTCCTACTATGCTTCTGCAATATGTATACTTCTAAAATCATGCTCAGGTGCTCATTCTCTGCACTTGGTTAATAATGGTAAATCTTAAACAGATTTGAAGCTTGCTTTGAACAAAACCAGTGTCATAAATCTTTTGAATAACAACAACACTACTAATGGTAGTTCTTTTTTATTTGCATACTTGCAGTATTTGTATACAGGAACAAAAGAGCTGAGAATGCTGATGATGAATGATGAGAACATGGATATTAGATGTGGGAGAAAATTAGAAAAAGGATTTGGAAGATCTGTATATGGGACCTGAATCTTAACTAACATGGTGATCTTACCTTAGTTACTAGAGTCAAGCTCGGTGAAAGGACCTGAGAAGAACTTGGGTATCTAAGGATGAAGATGCAGCCCTCCATCTTTATCCAGTCTCTTAAGCTTGTATTTGTTTGGTGCTCGTGTCTAGAACAACTGCTGTTCTGTCAAATACATTTGAAATCCAAAACTAAGCATCTGTATTTCTGAATTTAGTTGCTGGTTTGCATTAATAAACAGGAGTAGTGTCCACTTTCTATGTATTTTTTGCAGTAACACTAACATTGTAGGACTGAATCTCTTGGGAAATGCAATGCATTCTTCTTCCACAGTGTCATCCAAACAGCTCTTACTTTCTGGGAGACAAACTTGTTGGCAACCTTGAGGTAAGCACCTGCTCTTGAAAACTTGAGGTGTCACCTTTTTGCATCTGTTTCCTCCTTTGCCAATTGACGATTCTGAGGTACATGGTGTAAAACTTGCTTTCAAAGTGAAAGTTTATGAGTTTTTGTGAGTTTGAAGATGTATACTGATGGATTAGATCTGCCTTCAAGTAGGATCATCAACATCTAAACTCTTCTAGGAGGAGTCTCCTCAAGCCCACCTTCTTTGGGAAGAGAGAGACTTAGCTGATCTATTTTAGCAGCTGAAGAGCACTTTGTTCAGAATCATCCTGGTGAAAGGAACAAAACAAAATGAATTTGCTAATACCCAATATGCAATGCGCAAAAGCCATTCAAAATGTTACATAATGAGTATTTCATGTGTGCCTATCAAATCAGAGTGGTTGCACTCTACATAATATTAGCGGATCTCAGAAAGTATTATCTATGTTGTTTCTACTATACTCTTTTCTCTCAGCTATACTATTTTGCTAAAAAGTAGCAAAATCAGTTCTTAACTGCTCTACTGTTCCTACTCAGTGGAGTAAAGAAAATTTAGACGCAGTGACATTAGCCCCAGATTTCAATTACTCACAGTTCTAACAAGCTCTTTAAAATTCCCCTTAGCACATGTAAATGAATAGTGCTTGGCTGCACTGTGCACCCAACTCTAGTGCCCACATGGTTCAGGTTACATGGCCCAGAAGCCTTCTGATGCTTGCATCTAGTAGTCATTCAGATCAAAACCAGTTCACAGGATGTCCAAACACTAACTACATTCTCATTTCAGAGTAGTGAGAACAGCCTGTACAGCAGTGCAGAGAGTGGAAATTTGGCTGGCACATCAAGACAAAATACAAAAATACAAATATACTTCAAATACACTACAAAGGCAGAAAGAAAAATGTCAGGGTTTTAAAATATCTGTGCAGGTGTTTTCTTGACTGCTACCTTAGATAGAACCCCATTTCATAAAGCAAATGGACTTTAATTCCTGACTCCCCTAAACCCCCCCTTCCCTTTCCCCCCTTCCCAGAAAGGAAATCAACATAAGCCCTTAGAAATATCCAGATTCTTTGGCATTAGAACACATGGTTGGATTCTCAATTACTCTAAATCAGTGCTACTTCATTGATTTCATTAAACTTTGCTGGCATACACTGAATATGCCCCCTACTGTTAAATAGTGAAGGAAAATATCTGCCCTAAAGGAATGAATATGTTTGAAAGAAACTGAGCTGGATGATTTTCATACTTGGAAAATACAGAGCTATTCTGGCTGTGTTATGCTTCTCTCAAAAACATTTGTCCCACTGGTACAGCTGAGGCACTAGATCAAAGATGACGCCTTTTAGCAGCACTGTAAAGCATAGAAGGCTTGCTCAGTTTTCAACCAAACGTATAAATTTCCAGATCCACAATTACATAGTAGGCTTTGGTTGGCTTACAGCTGCTAGTCCCAAAATCTTTTGTGGTTAGTTGCTGCTGTATTTTCTCATGGTGTATCTGCGAATGCTTGGGAGAGGAGATGAGTCAGCAGCAGAATAACTTTAAAGTGGTCATCGACTTTGTTCTCCACAACAAGGGATGTGCCCTAGGTCAAATTTCTTATTTCAGCTGGTTGAACTTCTGAATAAGCTGAAGAATGTTAGCTCTAAAAAGTTTACAGTTCAAAGAATTTCTCTCCACTCCTCTGATAGGCAATCTTAGGGTGTCTTTTGAATACACACATATCAGGAAAATCTCCTTATTTTCTTGCTTATCAAAGCATTACTGTATACTGCTATCCAGCTTCTAAGTTTATAGTACACAAGTAACTATTTGCCCCTGCAGTCACTGAAATTCTTTGCATTCAGTAATTTAAAATCTGCGATACAAAATACAGCTTTTTTATAAGGATAAAGTTTAATAGTTTTTTAAAATTATGTACTACTGGGCTTTGTAAAGATCAGCATTTTCATCAAAGATAAGAGCACATGCTAAGAGATAAGCATTTTAAAAGTTAAAAAAATCATCCTGCCTAGGCATTCAGTGATTGAATACTTGCACCAAATGTGTATTTCTTAATACTGAATGGGTTGTTTCTGCCACAGACATAAAATTCTCAGAAAGCTAGAGAGTGTCTGTTGAGAATAAATAATATTTTAATTTTATTTTCCAATAAACAGGAAAAAGAGAGCAAGAATAAGATGGCCTTGGAATTCTGTCTGAAGAACCAGAGACTGGTTCAGGACCAAATTTGAAGTGGTCCAGTTGTACATGCCACTGTTTGGATATCCATATCGCTGTTTGGAGGTCTGCCATAGCTGTTCTTAAGAAAATGGCAGATGTATTTCTTATTTGTTCTTTACCTTACCTAGAATACTCCTCGTTAAGGAAATACACATAACTTAGTGACAAATGCAGATAAAATTTGGCCACAGTGGCAAAACACAACAGTGCTCTTGTAATTTGTTTATCTGATTTGCCAGTGTTAGTGAAAACTGAGATGATCAAAGAAAAGTTAACTACTAAAATATAAAATTCTGTAGATGATGTTTCTCAACACCATGCACTGTTCTCAGCACAGGATCAGCAGGCTTGAGCATCAGTTTCTGAGTCTGGGAAAGATACACAGTTCTCTTTGTAAAGGCTGACATGTCAGCAGTGAATGTGCCAGTGGGGAGTGGGTGGGAGGAGAAACAGCCCAGTAATTACAGAGATCAGTGAAACATTGTCTGGTCCGACCACAACTATTTTGGAGTTTTTATTTTACAATATGCTATTCCATTGTAAATGATGCTAACTCCTCTCCCACAGTAGTTCAGGGAGGTTTGTAAGCAGATGTGACCAAGTGTTTGGATGTTAGAAGACGAGGACCACAACAGAACTAAGCTGGTTTCATGTCTAGGGAGGCTCTGCTGACAGCTATGTTGCCAGAGCCCCCAAGTGCTGGCACAGCTGGGGCTGATGGCACAAACTGCTGTGAGGAGCTGTCATGTCTCTTCAGAGGTCATGCTGATGAGAAATGGTCAATCAGGAGGATGTGTCTCAGTGCTGGGGTGTGTTTATGCTGGCAAACCTTTGTTGTGTGGACTCTGTGTTATGTGGTACTGATGAAGGAGATGATGTGGGAATTGTTCCATCTGTTCTCTTCGTACTTTTTGCCAATCAGTGTAACAGGTTTGGTTTTGAGTACAAAGTATCACAGTCTTATAGCTGACAGTAATAGTGTACTTGTGCAGCTATGATTTAATTAGCCCACAGCCCTGTTTCTATCGAGTAACTGCTAAATCTAAGTACAAGAAGTAGCTTTTGTCAAGTGCAGGATCTAGTTTGGGGAAAAATTAGCAAACCTGTAATTTTGAGCCTCTTTATCATCAGATACTGCCATCAGAGGCTGGAACTCAGAGTTATTTGTGTGTGCCTGAAGATATGTCATGTACCTGTCTGCATGTTTTCTTTATTGCATCTTGTCAAAAGCAATATTTTTAAGGAAATAGGTTTTTTTCAAGGGCACATATTAGATTCTGGTCAACATCTGGTTAATGTTGGTTATTAAAAACTCATTTCTGTCTGGTATTACAAAAGACACAAATAGAAAGCCCATGTTTTTGTAACTAAAAGCACTATGGACAACTTTACAAAAGCTTATATAGCTGGCTTATGTTGTGTTTCAGCTATATTTGGTAACACAATAGAATGCTTTTGGAAGAGATATTAGATGCTGAAATAGTAATTCCAAATATAAATGAGGTCCCTAAGGCATGAATGTAATGTCTTGCTTATAACTTTAAATTACTTTTTTATAGTTAAAACTAGCATGTCTAGTGGCTAATTATAATGTACCCTGATGTTATGCCTCCTTTTCTGTCTTTTTCACATGTACCACTTATCCTCCTAGGCCTTCATTTCATAAAGGATTAAGTGCATTGGAGTGTTACTAAACAAAAAAACTCCAAAAACAAACAAAACAGACAAAAAAGAACAAAAGCTTTGCATAACAAGAGTAGATTTAAACATGACCTTAAATGTCTGATGAGGCATTTTACTGAATCCTAGTGTTTTTTTCTCTCTGGACCATCCTGGAAATATAATGGTGTGGTTCTAAGAAAAGAAAAAAACAATGTTACTTACAAAGAAAAGTTATTTATGCTTTTCTGATTCAGCAAAAATAAATGAAATTGACATTTCAAGCCTGAAATTGATTTCTTGGATACTGTAACACATAGGATAGAAAAGTACAGCGCTTTGGAGAGCTTGGGTGTATTCTCTATATTCTAATTGGAGATACTTTTCCATTGTACTAAAAAATAAAAGAAAAATAATTAAAAAACCCAAACCAAAAAAAGAGAAGCAATTTTTACCTGATCAAACTAAATGGGAATTGCAGTACTTACCCTTTTAATCTGGTCTGGCTTTGTGAAGACCAGTTTAGCAAGTGTTGGAGTATTATTGAGATGGCCAGCCTGAAAACATCAATAACTGGCTGGTTCTTGAGACAGACCAGTGGTGCTGTCTGCACTTTGGTGGAGGACAGATTGCCATCCAATGAGTGTAAAAGATGGGGACATAAAGAATCTTGGAATGAGATTCAGGATTATTTTATGTTCACAAGCTTGTGGGTGGGGGGAATAAGAAGTAGGAAATAAAGTAGGGGTCTGGAAGCTTCCATGAGAGATCTTTCTTTTATATTTGGGATGAAAACATGTAGTTTCATGCAGTATACAGAAAGAGCATCAATTAGTTTGGCAAAATCTCTGCAAACATTTCAGAGGTGAGACTGGGATGAAGTGGTTTGGCTGTTGCTGTCTTTCCTACCTGTTACAATGGAAGCTATGAAAACACTGCTGATGGTAAAGGAGTCTGTCATTCTCGGAGAGGTTTCAGAGAAAACTGAGCTAAAAACACAAAGATTTCCAGCTTCACAAATTAGAATCTTTTGTCCTCATTTAGAAACCTTCTCAACCATGCAGGCATTTCTGTTCATGCAGGCCCTCTGCTGATGTGCAGATTAGCTGTAGAATGTCTTGTTTCAGGTTTCAGGGGACTTTATTTGGGTAACAGGAGAACATATGACTGGACATTTGTAATCTACCTGGCAGCACAAACTATATGAAGTAATCAATTATTTTGAACAACAAGAAGAAACATCTTCAGCTAGGTAAGTTTGTGAGTCACAGGATCATAGAATGGTTTGGAAAGGACCTTAGATCCAACTTCCTGCTACAGGCATGGATATCTTCCATGAGACCAGGTTGGCTCAAAGCCCCATCCAGTCAGGCCTGGATCTTTAAAATTATTTTGGTTATATCTCAGAAAAAAAAGAAAACAAGACTCAAATTTCCTCATAGTTTCACAAAATGTATGTCTGTAGGGTGCAAATAAAAAATATCCTGAAAATATTAGCTTCTATTGCTTTAAAAGCTTGATCCCTCCCTGGGATTTAATAGGCTCTATCTCTTCATTCTTGGTTGCTTCCATCAGAGGCTTAGTCAATTCCCCTAATTCAGGAATCCATGGCCGACAAAATCCCACAGCTCTGAGATTAGTTCTGTGAATTCAAAGAAACAGTTAAAGCTATGAAGGATGTTGCAACTGGATGCAGCTTTACAGCCAAAATGAGTTATAAAACATTTTGCAGAGTACTGCTGCTAAAAATAGCTATGCATTGAGTTGAGAAAATGCAGAGAGGCTGGATAAGGTCAGTAAGTACATTACCCAGTTCTTACAATGGAGGAAATTTACCTACCATTAGTCGACATGTCATTCAGTAGATGGTGTCCTGCTGTCTTCTGGACGAGGCCTTTCTTGTTTTTTTCTTCTTATCCCCTTTTGGTTATCTGTTGTGCTCCTTCCCTTTACTCCCTGGGCTCTTTTCTGCAGGACTGCAGCTTGTTCTTTTCTCTTCCATCAATGTCATCGGGCAATGGACCAACGTGTCATAAGTAGAATTGCTTAACATGTATTTATCAGATTGTTTATTTACATATATTTAACAGCTTTTGAACATAAATTCACAGCACCACAAAAAAAGCCTCTGTTTTTGCAAAGTGCTTGCATATTCCAGCAAATGACAGCCTGGCTGTTTTTAGTAAACTTCAATTAATTTATTTGAAAAATTATATGAAATACACAGTTAATATCAAACCTGGGTTGTTTTGGGATTTTTGAAAATCTTAAACACTTATATCTTTTTGGAAACTACCCCAACCTTTCCTAATCTACATCCTTTTAAGTTTCCCAAGAACAAAATTATTAGCTACCTTTTCATGGTTAGGCTCTTGTTTATTGCATTCATTGTCCAGACTGACAAGTGAGAGAGGCCTGTTTTTACTATTCCTGGCTTTCTCTAGATAAGAACCAATGGATTTAATGCCACTTAGTTACAGACAAGTGAGAATGTTGGGGGAAGTTTCACAAAGTGAGTACCCTCTAACCTTCAGGATGTTTGTAGAGTAATTTTGGTTGCTTGGATCAATTATGACCAAAGAAAACACCTCCTCTAATAAAAGAGAATGCCTTTCCAGATGGGATTTAAATCCTGTATCTATTCAGCAATTCATTTTTTGCAGGTGCAGTCCTCTTTCTACTTTAGGGCCTAAAAGTGCTTCCCCAGAAGATGACAGTAAGTATGTAGTAGGAGAGTTTGCCTAGGGCTGTGCCAATATGGGAAGCTGACAGTCATCAGCCTAAATTAAAGATGGGTGACCTGACATTTGGAGGGGAAAAACAAAGTGATTTGGCAAGTCTTAAAAGAAACTTGTACCATGCCCTCTGATTCTCAATTCATGGGGGCACCCTTCCCCTGAGGAACCTAAATATTCTATGGTGTTAACATTCCATTCCCCTGCTGGATTTTTTTTTTTTTTTTTTTTTTTT